AGGACATAAAACAGAGTGAAAACAAATGACTTTCGTAAATTGGTCTCAAATAAACATTGATAAAAGGATATCTGATGTGGAAATTGCAAAAATTCAAACTGGTCATTGTCAACTTTAGCCTTAAGACACAGGCAAGGAGTGGGGAAGCAGACTGCATTGGAGAAAACTCGACAAAGGACAGCTGAGCAAATTGAAAGCAAACATGCTGCATTGATTCAGGAAACTGTGGCCGTCTGCAGCCAATGAACAAAGATTTAATATTAAGGAGCACTCACAGATCCTTCTTCCAACGCTTGACGAACTTTGGCCAGATCAGCCAGCGGACACCAGACCTCAGCAATTAGACATTTATTGGTGACATCAAAACTGCATAGGTTCAGGATATGGTAAATAGCCTTCATCTTCTTCACCTGAATAAGCCATGTGTGGATGGATTCTGATGCCTTGCACAGAACTTGCTGTAGATATTCCTCAGTTCTGTACAGTACCTGAGGAAAGAAGGGGTTTTGAAAAAGAAAGGTTTCTGAATTTCAACCCCCACCCCATGTAAACAATTCACAGCTATTTGATAATAAATTCTGTTTATAAATATTGACCAAAGGCAGGTATATGGAGTTAGGCCGCAGATCAGCCATGATCTCACTGAATGGTAGAACAGGCTCGAGGGGCTGAATGGCCCATGTCTATTCCTGGGCTCCTAAATTATGATCTGGGGGTCTCAGAGGAGCTTCATTTTTATCAGCAAGTCAGGAAGATGCAAGAAACTGAAGCATGAATAGACCATTCAATCCGAGCTGTCTGGTCCCTCATTCAATAAGATCATGGCTGATCATCTACCTCCGTTACAGGTTCCCATCCAATCACTAGCTTCCCGATTCCCTTGGCATTCAAATATATTTCCCTCTCTGATATCAAACGCTGACCATCCCATAGCTCTCTGGGTTAGAGAGTTCCAAATGTTCAGAAACCACCCCCCAAAGCAAATATATTTTCCCTTAGTTAAGGCAAGGAAGCCATAACTGTGCATAGTCATTAGTTCGATTCTAACTACAGACTCACAACACACGCTTGAGGCTAACATCCCCAGGGCAGTACGGAGAGAACACTGCATTGTCAGAGTGTCAGTGATAATGAGTGTTGTGATACAGGATTGTTGTCTTTCAGATGAGACATTAAACCGAGGCCCATCTGACTGGATCACATACCATCACACTATTTGAAGTTAATGACTCTCTTTCAACCACCTCCTCCAAAAATAGAGCATCAAATCATTCATTCATTCCCTCCATCTGTATTCTGTTAGCTTGCAAACTGGCTACTATAATTCCTCAAACTCTAGCCGTTTCTAATGTATGAGAAGCTTCATTTGAAATTTGCAGAGTTTGTAACATCAACAAAGAGCAAACTGAAATTCCAACCCAAACCCAGAGGGGATGTAGAACAACGTACTGTATGGAGATCCTGAATTCGAGTGTTGAGTCCTGCAACAATGTCGTCCCTCTCCTGGTTTGTACTTGGGTAAGGATAGACATGGCAGTGATAACTGCAAGCAATGGATTTCAATTAGAATAGGGTCATGCCAATACTTGTATACACAGGTATCACCCAACCATTACATAAAGAGACGTAAGCACAATCCTTTTTGTTTTCATGTACATCACAGACCAGTTCTTTGGCAGTGAACAGTCGAACAGCTCGAATCCCAATCTGTGAGCAATGCTGCACCATAATTGACCACAAGAGGGTGTGTGAGGCTTTCCCACAATGGCTCCATCAGAAGGGAGTGTTAATCTTAGTGTAGAGACAGTGCTCCACTTGTCCGAGATCAGGAGACTGTCCTTCTGGGAAAACCTTGTCTGAATCACAGTTGCTGCTTGTAATAATCAGTGAGCACCACTACAACCCTGTTACTCAGTTACTGCTCAGTGAATTTGTCTGATCTGCGCTAGATTATGATGAGTTTATTCAAGTTGTTGAATCGAGAAAGATGAGTATCACTTCAAAGCATTTTGAAATTAGAATTAAATTAGGTAAATATCTGAAAATGAAGAATTTGCAGGGAAGAGTGAGGGAGATTGAGAGAACTTTGCAATTAATCCCAAACAGCTGACACACACAGGGACTGAATGACCACTTTTGTTCTGTATATTCAACAAGAGTTTTTTCTCTTACCAATCGCATATCTTCTTCACCTTCTGACCAATCTGCTCACCCCAGTACGACACTAAAAACACAACCCATTTCACATCTTCCCCCTAAATCAGAAACACAAATTAATAATATATTTGAGAAAGATGGGGATGAAAGAGAGAGGCAGGAGAAAGAGAGAACAAAAACAGAAGTTGCTGGAAAAGCTCAGCAGGTCTGGCAGCACCTGTGAAGAAAAAAATCAGAGTTAACATTTCCCTTCCTCAGAGGTGGCAGAAAGACAGAGGCGGAAGAGAGAGAGAGAAGTAGGGGAGAGACATGGGAGAGAGCAAGGGGGAGAAAGAGAGAGAGAGGAGGAATAGAACAGATTCCATGTCAGACAATACTCACACACTCTGGATCCTCGAGAGCAACATTTAACTCTTCATACGTGAGGATCGTATAACCCTTACAGACTCTCCACAGCATCCGCTCAAAAGGTCCAATCTTCCATGGATGAATTATGCCAGCTATAAACCTACAGAGAGAGTATTTCAGAAACTGAGCTGGACAAATGGCTCGGAAAAAACAGCAGAATTCAGTTTCTAAAACAGCAACCTCAACTGCCATAAGATGATATCTATTTAAATTTTAAAAAAAGTCGGATCCAAAAAAAACAGTAAAATCCCAGAGACTTTGACTATTCAATCGCTACAAATCAATTCTCAGTAAAAGGAAACAAAATGGGGATCAATCTCTAAAGCATAAAGAAATTAGATTTTTCTGTAACAAGTAAAACCTCACATTGCTCAGAACCATGTGACTGTTACATTCTTATTAGCTTCATACCCCAGAGACCCAAAGAGCACAGAGACTGTTGTATTAACACAATTGTTGGTCTAACACACTGCATTTAAATAAGACAAGAACGAGGGTGCTTCCAGACAACAGCCTGGAGGATGACAGAATCATTACAACACAGAAGGTCATTCAGCCCATCGTGCCTGCACTGGTTCTACTATCGACTGCCAATTTCCTCTATATTCCCCAAATCCCTGCACACTATTTTTATCCAAATAATCATCCAATTCCCTCCTGTTTCATTTGAACTGGCTCCACCACATTTCCAGGCAGTACACTCCCGACCCTAACAACCACTAGGTGAAAAAAGTTTTTAATCATATAACCCTTGCATTAAATCCATGCCCTCTCATTTATGTTCCTTTTATAAGTGGGGACAGCTTCTGGGAGTCAGAACCTTAAATCTGGAGATGCTCATTTTCTCCAGCACTTTGTTTTTCTTCCAGATAACAAGCCAATTTCTTGACATGAAAATTGTTTAATAAACACAGACTTTTCAGGTGAAGCAAACACAGACAGATTGACAAAATTCTGCACCACATTCCAACAATTTATGGCAGCTGCTTAAGCAGATTTATAATTGCAACTCAAATTTAAATCCTTTGCTTCAAACAATTTGGAAGTGGAATTAGACAGATTCCCTGCCCAATATGCTGTTCCCTCAATTCCAAAATAAATCTCCATTTCATGAATTTAAGGGATATGGACTAAACACAGGCATATGGAGTTAGGCCACAGATTAGCCATGATCACAATGAATGGTGGAACAGGCTAAAGTTGGTCTAGGTCATGGATAGCTTAGGCCAGGTAAAAGCTCCCTGTACTCTAACCCCAGGAGCAGTACAGCACCAGCGTGAAATTCTTAATTTCTTTATCGTCACTCTGGTTGTGGGACGGGAATCTAGACACTCCCAACATAGTGAGAAAGGCTCCCTACTCTTAGCCAGTGTAATCATGGGCTGGATTTAAAAACTTGGAGTGTCAGAGTTTTAAAAACATTTTTAAAATCCATATTCACTTTCAGCCACCAATTTTCAGTTTTATATTAACGATCTGGCTATGTTACTGATCCTTGTATTAAATATAAAGCATTTTAGCATTAAAACCAACCGTGCAGCTTTGGAGCTGGCTTGATGGGATTCTGTGCTGCTATTATTCTTCTGCCTGTCTCTCATTCATATAGTGTTAGCAATCCTTTGTGTAGCTGTACTGTTGAAAGTCTAAAATAGGAACATAGGAATAGGAGTAGGCCATTCAGCCCTTTCAGCCTTTTCCACATTCAATGTGATTATGGCTAATCTGTGGCCTAACTGTATATGCCTGTGTTTGGTCCATACCCCTTAAAAACCGGAAAGTAAGTGCTGGAGAAAGTCAACATCAATGGAGAGAGAAACAGAGTTAATGTTCTGAATCCAGTGTAACCTTTCCTTAGAACACTCCAATATTTTTGATGGAAATATCACCAATTTTGGATCAAGATCCTGGAATTCCCTCCCTAAGGGCATTGTGGGTCAATCTACAGCACACAGACTGCAGCAGTTCAAGAAGTCAGCTCACCACCACTTTCTCAAGAGGCAACTAGGGACGGGGGCAATAACTGCTGGACAGCTAAGCAATGCCCACGTCCCATGAGTAAATAATAAAAAAAAATTGTCTTTAAATCATCTAAAATAATGTGGAGAGTCAGCAGCTGAAATTCCAATGTTACTTCAAGCCGAAATAAACACAGGAATGTGCTTGGTCTTTATAGAGTGAAGACAGTGTGGGAGTACTTTCCAGTCCAGCCTTCTATCTATTCAGCTCACCCAAAATGCCATTAACAGTCCCTGCCCCACACCACAACCATCCTCACACCTGTCCGCGTTGATTTTACATCAGCCTCCAAGTAAATCTACTCACGATTCAAAGCTAATGTTTCTGACAATTTTGTCAAAGGTTTTCATCTTGCATTTATCAGGTCAATTTACCAGAATTCCAAAACAAAGAGAAAACAACATTCATACTGTATTAAAGGAGTGTGCAAATTTGTTGGCAAGTGAGATCTGACTTATTGAGGTATTGCTATGAAGAATGTGCTAGTTAGCGATGACTGGGTTCTCTTTACTGGATGTTCTTGTTGAGAAATTGGTCAGATGGCTCTCTATTACTGTCTACCACAACCCACCTTCACCGCCCAATATACACATTGGGATTCCTATAGTTTCATGCACTATAAGCTTGCCTTTACCACCAACCTTTCAATAGGGTTAGAGCGACTCGGTTACCTTGCAAACTTGATTAAAGTGCTAAAATACAGCATATCAAATTACTGGCTATCCAATCAGCATTCTCCTCCCATTCAGTTTAAATATGGTTTTCCCTGTACTTTGGTATTCTTGCAAATTGTCCCGATGAGTCCAAGATGAAGAGCTTTGACAAAATGAGTAACTTTTTCAGCAATGCTCAAATTCTCTATTACCTGATAAGAATTCAAGGTTGAATAGTTCACATATTCTGACCAGTCAACATTTTAATCCTAGATTCCAACGTTGTTGTTTTGTTTACATTGAAACCCCAATAAGTTGAGCTGTAAATGCTCATCCTCTCATTCAAACACCCTCCAGGGATTCACCTGATCCAACCCCAAAAGCTGCAGTCCTACGCCTCTTGTTCCTTTCTCTTCCTTTCATTTGGCAGCTACGTCTTCATCCCAGCCTGTCTGTTTATTTATTTCTGTCTCGTGTTTATCTCATTTTCCTCAAAAGCATTATTAACTTCAGTAGAGGTTCCATTTTATTTCTATTTGAAACAAATTCACATTATATAATACAACGCTTTTGAGATTCTTGATAATAGGAGTGACATAGCTGACAGATAAAGTACACTGGCATACCCTAACTTGGCTCCTAGTCGCTGCATATTTGTATAATCCATTAGTGGCTCTTTATCCAACGAAGGAAATTCCTCAAATTGAGCCTGGGTGGCAAGGTCAAGCTAAAGAGAAAATAATAACATTTCAAAGATCTTCAGAAGAATAGTGCGGTTGAAAAAAAAAAACAATGTGACAAAAGGACATCCCTTCTTCCACAGACTGGGCCCTGTCATGGATACTCGCCAGAATTCTTTCTATTCTATTGGGAAGTTTCCACACTGGGCTGGAGCTGCCCCATGTTGCAGAGAATGATTTGGGGACAACTCATTTTTTTGAGCAAGTCCTGATTTGTAACTTTAATTTCAAAGGCTGACACTGCATCATCATTGCAGCCTGTACACCAGCTGTTTTATTTTTAAACCAATCCAACAATGTTCTCCATAAGGGTGCTTTAAAAAAAAAAATCAATGAATGTGCAACCTTTACAGATAGTGACAACCTCTACTTTGTATTTTCTGTTTTTATTACCATTTTTACAAAGATATGGTTTCAGATCTTACACTCCTATTGTAATTCTGATTATTTTCAAAGCAAGGATTCTTCTCAAACAGAATCAAGATTTGAATGCAAGCTAAATAAGTTATGTAATGTAGAAAATAAAGCTATCTTTCACTATGGCTGGTTCTTTGGTTACAGCAGTAAACCAGAACATTTGTATGCTGTGAAATTTTCACTAGTATTATAGTTATACCCAGGGAGACTGCTGAAAAACAAGGACCTAACAAAGACAGCGATCACATCCCAACATCCATTTAAAATTCAAATCACTTCACTCCTTATAAACTATGTGTATACAGCAAGACTCAAGGAGCTAGCAAAAATCTAAAATTATACCACTCTCGCTCCAATACTGAATCAATTCAAATGCAGATTATAGGAAGAAACAAACCCAATTTCCAACATAAAAGCAAAATACTGCAGATGCTGGAAATCTAACATAAAATAATGCTGGAGAAACTCAGCAAATTTGGCAGCATCTGTGGACAGAGAAACCAATTTACTGTTTCACGTTAAGTGTAGCAAAAGAGAAATTAAAAATTTAAGTCTGAGTCCCTGTAATTTCCTTTCTCCTCTCCCATCGCAGTCGGCGATACAACTAATCTGCATTTGGACTTATCCACTTTCAAGCTTGCAGAAACCTCCAATACCTCTTCATTCCCAATGTCAGTCAGTAAATCTACAGCAGTGCAGAGGGGGTGTAGTGCATTCAGATTGGAATTGATAAGAGTTTAGGCCCAATATACTCCATTTAGGGTGAAATGTAGTAACAACAAGCCAAGAGAACACTGAATGTCTAGGAACATTCAGGACTATACAAGGAGGAAAGACAGGCTTTTAGCAGGTAGAATGGGAACAAATCAGCAAAGGTCCTACTGGCGAATGGAAAATGCATGGGGGGATCTTAAGGAAGCAATTAAGAGGTAAAGATGGGATATGAAAAATATTAGTGGGTAAGATTAGGAAAATTCCCAAGACATTGTACATCAATGAGGATAACCAAGGGGCCAACCTGTGTGTAGCACCATAGACGTTGGTGGAATGTTAAATGAGCACTTCATATCTGCCTTCACTGAGGAGGACGATAACGATACAAAATTCTGGATGAGGGATGGTGAGGTTCTTGAGCAGATTGGCAGCAGGAGTGAGGAGGTATTGGGGTTCTGGCAGGTTTAAAAGTGGACAAATCCCTCAGTATATCCAGTTGTATCCCAGGCTGCTACGGGAGACAAAAGAAATTGACCTATATTTTTAATTGCTCTCTGGCCACAAGGGAGGTGCCAGGGAGCTGCAGGACATCTAATGCCATTCCACTTTTCAAGCCGGTTGTGAGCTAAACAAAGGAATTAAACACCAGAGAGTCTCACATCATGGTAGGGAAACTATCGGAGAAAATTCTGAAGGAGAGACTTAATCTCCATTTAGTGAGGCAAGATTTAGTCGGGGATATTTAGCATGGTTTTGAGAGAGGGAGGTCATGCCAAACAAATGTGATTGAATTTTTTAAGGTGGTGACCAGGTGTGTAGATGAGGGTAAAACAGCTGATGTAATTTCTAAGGATTTCAGCAAAGCCTTTGACAATATCCCACATGGCAGACTGCTAAAAAGGTTAAAACACATGGGATCCAAGGTAACAAAGAACAAAGAAAATTACAGCATAGGAACAGGCCCTTCGGCCCTCCAAGCCTAGAACATTGAACATTACAGCGCAGTACAGGCCCTTCGGCCCTCGATGTTGCACCGACCTGTGAAACCAATCTGAAGCCCATCTAACCTAAACTATTCCATTATCATCCATATGTTTATCCAATGACCATTTAAATGCCCTTAAAGTTGGCGAGTCTACTACTTTTGCAGGCAGGGCATTCCATGCCCTCACTACTCTCTGAGTAAAGAACCTACCTCTGACATCTGTCCTATATCTATCACCCCTCAATTTAAAGCTATGTCCCCTCGTGCTAGGCATCACCATCCAAGGAAAAAGGCTCCCACTGTCCACCCTATCTAATCCTCTGATCATCTTGTATGTCTCTATGAAGTCACCTCTTAACCTTCTTCTCTCTAACGAAAACAGCCTCAAGTCCTCAGCCTTTCCTCATAAGACTTTCCCTCCATACCAGGCAACATCCTGGTAAATCTCCTCTGCACCCTTTCCATTGCTTCCACATCCTTCCTATAATGTGGTGACCAGAACCGTACGCAATACTCCAACTGCGGCCGCACCAGCGTTTTGTACAGCTGCAACGTGACCTCATGGCTCCGAAACTCAATCCCTCTACAAATAAAACCTAACACACAGTACTCCTTCTTAACAACCCTATCAACCTGGGTGGCAACTTTCAGGGATCTATGCACATGGACACCGAGATCTCTCTGCTCATCCACACTACCAAGAATCTTACCATTAGCCCAGTACTCTGTATTCCTGTTACTCCTTCCAAAGTGAATCACCTCACACTTTTCCGCATTAAACTCCATTTGCCACCTCTCAGCCCAGCTCTGCAGCTTATCTATGTCCCTCTGTAACCTGCAACATCCTTCCGCACTATCCACAACTCCACCGACTTTGGTGTCATCCGCAAATTTACTAACCCATCCTTCTACGCCCTCATCCAGGTCATTTATAAAAACAACAAACAGCAGTGGCCCCAAAACAGATCCTTGAGGTACACCACTAGTAACTGAACTCCAGGATGAACATTTCCCATCAACCACCACCCTCTGTCTTCTTACAGCTAGCCAATTTCTGATCCAAACCGCTAAATCACCCTCAATCCCATGCCTCCGTATTTTCTGCAATAGCCCACCGTGGGGAACCTTACCAAACGCTTTACTGAAATCCATATACACCACATCAACCGCTTTACCCTCATCCACTGTTTGGTCACCTTCTCAAAGAACTCAATAAGGTTTGTGAGGCACAACCTACCCTTCACAAAACCGTGTTGACTATCCCTAATCAAATTATTCCTTTCGAGATGATTATAAATCCTATCTCTTATATTCCTTTCCAACACTTTACCCACAACCGAAGTAAGGCTCACTGGTCTATAATTACCAGGGTTGTCTCTACTCCCCTTCTTGAACAAGGGGACAACATTTGCTAGTCTCCAGTCTTCTGGCACTATTCCTGTAGACAATGACGACATAAAGATCAAAGCCAAAGGCTCTGCAATCTTCACTCTAGCTTCCCAGAGAATCCTAGGATAAATCCCATCCGGCTCAGGGGACTTAACTATTTTCACACCTTCCAGAATTGCTAACACCTCCTTCTTATGAACCTCAATCCCGTCTAGTCTAATAGCCTGTATCTCAGTATTCTCCTCGACAACATTGTCTTTTTCCTGTGTGAATACTGACGAAAAATATTCATTTAGCACCTCTCCTATCTCTTCAGACTCCACGCACAACTTCCCACTACTGTCCTTGACTGGCCCTAATCTTACTCTAGTCATTCTTTTATTCCTGACATACCTATAGAAAGCTTTAGGGTTTTCCTTGATCCTACCTGCTAAAGACTTCTCATGTCCCCTCCTGGCTCTTCTTAGCTCTCTCTTTAGGTCCTTCCTGGCTAACTTGTAACTCTCAAGCGCCCTAACTGAGCCTTCACGCCTCATCTCTACATAAGCCTCCTTCTTCCTCTTGACAAGAGATTCAACTTCTTTAGTAAACCACGGTTCCCTCGCTCGACCACTTCCTCCCTGCCTGACAGGTACATACTTCTCAAGGACACGCAGTAGCTGTTCCTTGAACAAGCTCCACATTTCAATTGTGCCCAGCCCCTGCAGTTTCCTTCTCCATCCTATGCATCCTAAATCTTGCCTAATCACCTCATAATTGCCTTTCCCCCAGCTATAACTCTTGCCCTGCGGTGTATACCGATCCCTTTCCATCGCTAACGTAAACATAACCGAATTGTGGTCACTATCACCAAAGTGCTCACCTCCCTCCAAATCTAACACCTGGCCTGGTTCATTACCCAGTACCAAATCCAATGTGGCCTCGCCTCTTGTTGGCCTATCTACATACTGTGTCAGGAAACCCTCCTGCACACATTGGACAAAAACTGACCCATCTGAAGTATTCAAACTATAGCGTTTCCAGTCAATATTTGGAAAGTTAAAGTCCCCCATAACAACTACCCTGTTACTTTCGCTCCTATCCAGAATCATCTTTGCAATCTTTTCCTCTACATCTCTGGAACTTTTCGGAGGCCTATAGAAAACTCCCAACAGGGTGACCTCTCCTTTCCGGTTTCTAACCTCAGCCCATACTACCTCAGTAGACGAGTCCTCATCAAACGTCCTTTCTTCCACTGTAATACTGTCCTTGACTAACAATGCCACACCTCCCCCTCTTTTACCACCTTCCCTGATCTTACTGAAGCATCTAAACCCCGGAACCTGCAACAACCATTCCTGTCCCTGCTCTATCCATGTCTCCGAAATGGCCACAACATCGAAGTCCCAGGTACCAACCCATGCTGCAAATTCACCCACCTTATTCCGGATGCTCCTGGCATTGAAGTAGACACACTTCAAACCACCTTCCTGCCTGCCAGTACACTCCTGTGACCTTGAAACCTTATTCATGACCTCACTACTCTCAACCTCCTGTACACTGGAGCTACAATTCAGGTTCCCATCCCGCTCTGAATTAGTTCAAACCCTCCCTAAGAGCATTAGCAAATTTCCCCCCCAGGATATTGGTACCCCTCTGGTTCAGGTGTAGACCATCCCGTTTGTAGAGGTCCCACCTATCCCAGAATGAGCCCCAATTATCCAGGTATCTGAATCCCTCCCTCCTGCACCATCCCTGTAGCCACGTGTTCAACTGCTCTCTCTCCCTCTTCCTCGCCTCGCTAGCACGTGGCACGGGTAACAAACCAGAGATAACAACTCTGTTTGTTCTAGCTCTAAGCTTCCATCCTAGCTCCTTGAATTTCTGCCTTACATCCCCATCCCTCTTCCTACCTATGTCGTTGGTGCCTATGTGGACCACGACTTGGGGCTGCTCCCCCTCCCCCTTAAGGATCTCGAAAACATGATCCAAGACATCACGGACCCTGGCACCTGGGAGGCAACACACCAACCACGAGTCTCTTACATTCCCACAGAATCTCCTATCTGTCCCCCTAACTATGGAGTCCCCAATGACTAATGCTCTCCTCCTCTCCCCCCTTCCCTTCTGAGCAAAAGGGACAGACTCCGTGCCAGAGACCTGTACCCCATGGCTTACCCCTGGTAAGTCGTCCCCCCCAACAGTATCCAAAACGGTATACTTGTTTTTGAGGGGAACGGCCACAGGGGATCCCTGCACTGTCTGCCTGTTCCCTTTCCGTCCCCTGACTGTAACCCATCTACCTTTTTCCTGTACCTGAGGTGTGACTACCTCCCTGTAACTCCTCTCAATTACCCCCTCAGCCTCCTGAACGATCCGAAGTTCATCCAGCTCCAGCTCCAGCTCCAGTTCCCTAACGCGGTTTCCGAGGAGCTGGAGTTGGGTGCACTTCCCGCAGATGAAGTCAGTGGGGACACTAGTGGTGACCCTTACCTCCCACATTCTACAGGAGCAACATGCAACTGCCCTAACATCCATTCCCACTGTTCTGAATTCCCAAACGGACTATTGAAAAAAAAAACTAGTAACCTTACCAAATCAGCGCTCAGAACCTTTTTTTTGGGTTAGAGGAGGAGGATGGATGGGAGACACTACCTAGGTAGTGTTTCGGGTAAAGCAACCGCCCAAATATATTACCTCACTTACTCACTCCAAAAATGGAGTCACGCGAGGTAAGACTTTTATAATCGAAAAGCTTACGTTCCCAGGGTGCCCTCGCGCTTCCTCCCAGACTCCCGCCGCTGATCGTATCCTTTGACAACCTTCCTCATTATCCACAATTCCACCCAGTTTGCCATCTGCAAACTTACTAATCAGACCACCTGCACTTTCATCCAAACCATTTAAGAGGTCCCAGCACTGATCCCTGCGGAGCGCCACTGGTCACAGATCTCCAGTCAGAAAAACACCCCTCTGCAACTGCTCTGTCTTCTGACTAAGTCAATTTTGTATCCAACTTGCCTATTCACTGTGGAACCCATGTGACTGAAAGATGAATAATAACTTGAAAATTCAAAGTTTTTAAAAATAAATATATCTAACTGACCCTCCAATAATGCAGCACTCCATCAGCTACAATCCTATTGAATGGTGGAGCAGGCTTTAGGTGCCAAATGGCTGACTCCTGCTCCTATTTCTTATGGTCTAATCCATGCATTTCTTTCTCTTTTAAGTACTTATCAGTGTTCTTTTAAAACTATTCTCAATCTATATCCACTACATTCTGACATAGTGCATTCTAAATCCTAACCATTCATTGCTTAAAGAAACCTTTTCCTCATGTTAATTACAGTTCATTTGCCAATCAGCTAAATTCTGTGGCTCTGGTTATTGATCCTTTAGCCACTGTATATAAAAATCTCAATCAAACCTCCTCTGCTCCAAGGAGTACAACCCCAGCTTTTCAAGTCTGCATGTGATACTCACTTAAAAACAAGACTCGAGACAAGTTAGATTGATCCCATTCTGAAATCAGACTCAATCCAGAGTGTGATTAAGAGACTACTTAGATCATTTTTTCCATTAATTGTACAAGTCTGTTCAATGAATCACAACATTATCTACAACTGGAACACTCACCGGATCAATACCAAATGGATAGGGCCCTTTGAAAACTCCAGTGACATTGGGATCCAGGGTTAGATACTGATTGTAACGAAGATCATCATCCCTAAAAAAAAAGTATTCATCAAATCTAGAACTCGCAAAGAACTTTGATCCAGTCTCAATTTTACACATAATCATTTACATATTAGCATCCTCTTTTAACAAAACAAATTAGCTTCTAAATCATGTTTTAGAGTATAATTTGATTGATTAATGACAGGACTGTGGGGCGGCACAGTGGCCCAGTGGTTAGCACTGCTGCCTCACAGCACCAGGGGCCCGGGTTCGATTCCACCCTCAGGCGACTGTCTGTGTGGAGTTTGCACATTCTCCCCGTGTCTGCGTGGGTTTCCTCTGGGTGCTCCGGTTTCCTCCCACAGTCCAAAGATGTGCAGGTTAGGTGGATTGGCCGTGCTAAATTGCCCATAGTGTTCAGGGATGTGTAGATTAGTGGGTTACAGGGGGATGGGTCTGGCTGGGATGCTCTGAGGTTTGGTGTGGACTTGTTGGGCCAAAGGGCCTGTTTCCACAGTGTAGGGGTTCTATGTTCTTATAAAACAATCATGCGTTCTGTGAAACCAGCTACTTATTTACATACTGCCTGATGAAGATTTCTGATTGCCAGATCTGCAACTTACATTGAGGTAACAAATCCGACACTGCCTGATTACAGGCCCAACATCCCACTGTCTGCTATACCCATCCGCAACCCCTCACACTTTTGACAACTGACCTCACCCAACTACACACACACACCCCTGATTCATTAGATAGGGCAGTTTTCACATTCCAGGGGCAAGGATAGGAAGCTAAGTACATTGAAACTATATCAATTGCCATTCAGAAGAATGAGGTGATGTCATTGAAACCTCCAAGATTCTGAAAGGGTTTGATAGGGTAGAAGTTATTGCTCCCAGATGAATAATTTGGAAAAGAGGGGCACAGTCTCAGAATAAGGGCTGAGATGAGGGGAAATTTCTTCATTCAAAGGATTATGAATCTTTAGAATTCCCTATCTAAGAGAATCGTTGAGTCTCAGTCATTGTCTATATCAGCCTTAAATATATTCAATCTTTGGTGTGGGGAATTAAGGGGTACGGGGGCTGGTGGGGAAGTGGAGTTAAGGTCGATGATCAGCCTCAATCATATTGAATGGGAATGGGAATGGGAATGGGAATGGGAATGGGAATGGGAATGGGAATGGGAATGGGAATGGGAA